TTCCAGAAACAAAGTGTACGTCATTAAGCCGAAATCAAATTCTAAAATATCGTGACGCCATGACGATCGCTGGCGTTACCTTTATTGGAAAATTCCTCGGATATCTCTTTCAGACAATCCCGGCCAAAAGTAGTTGGGACACTTGAGCTGTATCACGTATCCCCCTTCCCCCCGAATCAATGTTGGAAAATATCGCGTTTTCTCCAACAAAAAAGGGAAAAATCACCTGATTATCAACATTGAAAGTGGGGGGAGGGGAGAACTTGCTTCGTGTCCCAAGTCTTTTGTCTGGGATTGTAGGTGCTTAGCAAGCCTCAATTGTTTCGAGAATAAAATAATATAGTATCTACAGCTGTACATAACTACATTTGTATCTACAGTATCTTAAAAAGAATTTTTACACAATCACATAATCAAAGCCATTTCAGCTCACTACATGGACATCATAGACTTGCCTGTAAACTTTTCCAAATCTGCCACTGCCTAGAGGACTCCATGCGATCGCCAACTCTTCAAATGGTATCACCCACTCAGACATCAAGCTGCCTCTTTGCTGAAGAAGAAGCAACAAATAATTCTTTCCTTTTCCCTTGCAAGCTTTGAATCGTGTCCTGCATGCAGACCTACATCAAGCGCTTACAACAAGGATAGAGGGAAGAAGAAAGTAATGAAGGAGACATCAGGGAGGACAGTGAAGGGGAGTTTTTAACGAAGTATTTAGACCAAGCATGTCATATACAGATTGGTCTGAATATAGATACAAAAAGCAATTTATAGTAATTGTTTTATACAAAAGAGGACATAATAGAAATACAAGAAAATAAGAACTGACAAGCAAGCATTCAAATGGGATTTTGTTTAGAATAACGAATCATCAATCAATCAATTAATCTCTGTCCAACGTTTTTTTCTTTTTTTTTTTTTTCTTTTTTTGTTCATTTTGATTGCACTTGTGTTTACGCTTTAAATCCCTAGTATTAGCATTTAGTTTCATTTCCACTTTATAAGCAAAAGTTAAAAAAAGACGTACGTCATCTGTAAATAAAGTTAGTCTACATTTAACCATTTTTATCTGTTTTATCTAGCCTTCAAGTTAGAACAATACCTGAATGTATGACGAGCATGGGCAATGGTGTTTAATGAAATTTTCCCTTTTCAAATGACAGTAAATAATTATCACCACAATAGTTTTACCATATTTTATTAGATGCAAGGCACCATAATTTTAAAAGTTTCAAAACTGTTCAAGGTATATATTCACTCACATGTAAGTCCCAAAGCATGTACGCTTTTCCAACCTTTCATTAAAAAGGCACACAAATTCTCAATTAGTTCAACAAGTTTATCCGAATGAATAAATCTAACGGTTTTCACCACGCGGTGACTCTGTGAATTACTATGTGTAAATGCTATTAAGTTGTTAGGTTCAGTGTGCAAAAGTTAATGTTGACATTATTAACGTTATGGATTTAGAAATCACTGTGCATGTATTAATTCAATTTTAATAATTACGATTTATGGACGTTAGCCTGCGTTTAGCTTATAAGTGCTGCAGGTAGTTAAATGGAAGGAAGAGTCAACAAACACGACAAATGGGAACAAGAACAAAGTACAGAGTAACATATCTGAAAAGTACACAAAGAAAAATATGTGTAGTTAATTTCCCAACAATGACAAAAATTAATTACATAACAGGCACATGTCTGTATAAAAACAAAATGTCAATCCTGACTGGTACATAGAAGCTACATGAACGATGACGCTTTTACTGTACACGTATATAATTATGTACAAGCACTTGCAAATTTACATTTTAACATTGTTCAAATACAGTCAAAGCTCTATTAAGCAGACACTCTCTGGTCAAAACCCTCCCTGGTATCTGGTTCATAGCAAAGGTTTACATACATAATTATTATTAGTGTCTTTTAATAATGGTGTCTGACTAATTGGAAGCCCAGTTAAGCGAGGTTTCACTGTACAACTTGACCCTGGTTTGTAAGTGGTAATTCATTAGACTTAATGTTGTCAGAGTGGGAAATCCCTTTACTCACAACAATTATGCAATCAAAAATTCAGTGTTTCAAAATTTTAGAACAAACTTTATGTCAAACAATAACAAGTAAAAGTAACCTTGACCATTCTCCTGCCCCATGTTTTGCTCTCAGGGTCTACATCAGAGATTTGACTGTCTAGAGACTCAATACTTGGAACATCCTCTCCTGACAATGTCTGTAAAGTAACACATCAAAATATTTAAATTCAATTCCATCAACTTAAGTCTTAATTTTTAAGTCAGCAATAAATTAATTAAGGGGCTGCAGCATACTTTAAGCAAAGCCTGTGTGTAGTTGGATGTGTCATGAGATCCTAGATGTATATACTGGATGTACTGTACCTACAGTATTATCAACTGTCTGTGACACAGGCCACATAAGCAGTGAGACTCAAAATATAATAGTAAATCTCTTATTAAGTGATTGCCGTTCATTTCTAAGAACTATTTGAGAACTTCCCTCCCAGAGTGGTGAGGGTAATTCATGCATGGGATCATCCTATCCAGGAAATGCATACACCACTAGGGTACACTTTTCAAAAGTGTTTTAACAGATCTTTAACAGCACAACAAGAGCATTTGAAGAAGAAACACTTTAATGCTTAAGAGATCCTAACCGTCGCGTAACATGATACAACTGACTAAGGACGCATAAATTACGACATACTTATTCATGCTCTTATTCACTCGTGCACATTCTTGTTCATGCATTCTTGTACACTCGCACATAAATTAGCACATTATCACAAAAAGCTCATTCAGAGAAGCTGGATTACATGTTATACACGTACCAGTGGCCGATCTAGGGGGACCCTGGTAAAAAAAAAAAAAGCAGAGGGAAGAAAAGCCGGCAGGGCAAACAACCACCCCCTCCTCTTAGCTCAAGGTCTGTATCCACCACCGTGTACATGTAACTTATAACTCACTGAATCATTGCTTGTTGTAGTGTTGCTGCTTTGCCGTGATTTCACACTTTCTGTCCTCACCAATGTGCTGGTTGAGTCAATCATTTCATCACTGATTAGAAATAAATCAACACATATAAATACATACATTGTATATGTACATCAATGTTTCTTAAGAGAGCAGTATAATGAAGTTTCATCAGCTCCTTTGCTGCTTAGACCATTACAAGAGTGAACATACTTAGTTATGCAACAGTTTTGAGCTGTACACTGTATGTCAAGGAGTATCCAAGGCAAGTGTGTATACCAAGAAAATACAAGCAGAATATTCCATGGTATACCATAAAAAATAAATTTTTTAAACCATGCCATAGAAAATACAGTGGACACATAATCAATCTAGCACACAATGCGAAGGTTGGCTGTAATACTGCTGAGTATACTATAATACAACAGCTTTCCTGTATTCTTATTGGCTGTATTTTCTATGGCATGCTATAAATGTAGATAGGTATGGCAAGCAAACATTTGTGTGAACTAACACAACATTAATTATGTAAGCCATATTATCAAAATGTGAACCTACAGTATACATATAAACATCATTTGATGTGTAAAGTCTGCATTTAAGTAAAGTCAACTTACAATACATGTCCATGTTCTAAATAAACAAGTAATGGTAAAGGATAAGGGCAAACTACATGTCTTTTTTAAATGTACCTCTGCAAGGAAGATGTCATACTTGATACATCTAAAAGGAACATCCAAATAATTGCAATTATTAGTTATAAATAATGAATACGCTGCAGTACACATGTACATGTTACATGTAGTGCTGAAATTTAATCAATGCAAATAGCAATGTAACATTTATTTATGCTTCAACATTTCAAAGAAACTGTACTATCAAAACAACCATTTCAAAAAATAATGCAGACATGATGATAGCTGCAAATGCTGCCATAACACTACTGGAAAAAAAGACCTGATAAAATTCTAACCCACAACCTTTGCATTAACGGTGCAATGCTTTCCCAACTGAGCTATCAAAGGCACATGAGAGCGGTCGTGTGTGGGTTGGCCCTTTATGTTCAGTGGACGTAAATAATATTATTTGTACATCATTTTCAGTTGTCTTTAGAAAGTTCTGTTTTTGCTTTTCATGTGTTGAGCTGTATTTGAGCCATTCTTCAAAACTAAATGTACATACAATGTACATAATTATACAAGTACAGTTAGCAACATTCACCCTACCCCCACCCCTACCCATCAACCCCTTCAGCTCCTAGGTTTACTCATTTCCTTTATTTATATTTCTTACGATAAAATTTGCTTATTACACATACATGGCACACTGTATATAGTCATTCAGACAGACTCTGCAGGAGCTAAATAAAATGCTTTAGAATACAATGTGTTAGAATACAAAGTTAGAACAAAATGGCTGACTGACCTTTGAAAGAAAAATGTGATTCTGGAAACTGATCAAGCTCTTCTTGTGCCGACAGGCTGGCGCTGGCTGAATTTGCTGGAAGAGGCGATGATGGCGGTGATGATGTAGATGATGATGTAGAGCATGAGTCTCCACTTGTTCCACTTGCCCCACTTGTTCCTTTGATAAACTGAGAAGGAATCTCATTGCGAATGCCCGCAGACCATGATTTGTGGTCAACTGTATTCAAATCACCATGGCTACGATTGGCATTCAACCTGCCATGTTCGTGCATGGATCTCTCAACTTGAAGGGCAATGCTGGATGGCTCTGAGTTTGTTCTCTTTACACGAGGACGTATCATAGGCAAAGAGCTATAATTCATGGCTGCAAAAGAAGACAATAAAACACTTGTCTGTGATGACTTACACAGTAGAATGCTAACAACACTCCTTGAGAAGTCCTGTATTACAAAGACTACATACATGAACACCATCTCATTTTATTGTGATCAAAGTAGAATTGCACTCACAGCTGAATGTATTCCAACTGTCTCAGTTTAATCAAGAATCTCCTGCATTACATGTACCTCTTACGGTGTTCACTCCAACCGGATTTCTATCAAAATAATTCTCCCAATTCAGGGTGGAAATAATACCAGACAAAAATAAATCCACACCCATAAGTGTTTTATTTACAGCAATGAATGGAAAGCCACTTTAGCTGCCTTGCTTCTGCCCTCACCTCTCCGAAGCTGAGCAGTAAAAAAGTCTCCACACCCCTTTGGCAGCCCACATGCAGGAGGAGCCAACTTAGCACATTTCTTGTGAAATTTAAGCCTATCAAGCAAAACACAAAAGAGAAGCAAGCAAAATTAAACTGGTGATTCACCTCTGATGGGCTGTTGTTGTTTGCAAATTAATTTATTTTGTCTAATAAGCAATGACAAAAACAGCAAATCGAAAAAAAGGAACTCATTAAAATTTACAAGGAAAACACTTGCATGAACTTACTTGCATTCTTTGCACTTTTTGCCAACCAAAAGGAGTTTATGGCAATAATCACACGCCAAGCTAACCATAAATGTCTTCTGAGAAAACCTGAAATAAAAAATGTAGCAATTAAACACAAGAAAGAAACAATCACTTGCTGTCATTGGGTTAGAACAAATTCTTGAACCTTTGTACTAATAACCAGACATACAGTATACATATACAGTGTGTATTTGATAGCAGATGTTATGTACAGTTACATGACTGTATGCATCAGAACGCTTGTAAAGTTTGTACAGATAAAAACAAATGACAAATCGGACCATACCTGTGTTTTATTGTATGCCCCATACCATAGTGAGTAACAAACCTAGATGGAGAACCTATTGTATGGGAACCTAGGACAGAGTAAACAGAGTAAACAAAAAGAAAATTCATTCGAATACAAGTAATAAAGCAGGCAACATTTTCAAAAGGAAGTCAGCATTGCAAGTGAAAAATACACAATGCACAGGACCTACAATCATGGACAAAAGCAGTTGAGACACTCCCCCAAAAAGACCTGTTTTGTTGAATGCGCAAGTTTTTCAATCTCCAATTTTCACATTTCCACCCCCTCTCCCCTTTTCAATGTTGTAACCACATGACAGTGTCCACGGAACGTATTTCAACATTGAAAAGGGGTAGAGGGGGTTTGGCTATCAACAAAAAGACGTTTTTTGAAATTACGGAAGGACGCCGATAGAAAGCATTTGTTTTTCTCAAATGTGTCAACACTTTTGTCCATGATTGTAGCCTACAGTGTACTTGCACAGTGTAGTTATTGACAGAAAAAAACTTAACTCATCCAGCTTTTAACTGTTGATGAAATGCTGACCAGTCAAATTGTCCACAACATACAGTACATGTATGACATAATTTCCCAAGCAATTTTGCCAATTGTATTCTCAAGACACTGTACTGTAAGTAAGAATAATATATCTTTCCAAAGATCTTGTTTCATACATGAAGACACTGGTCAGGTACAAATAATACTTCAGTTCTGGAGCCAGATGAGGTTCAAAGCACTGAGTATGGCAGACATTCCACTGCACTATTAGTTAAGACAACCACTACCTTGTCCATATAGATGTTCATCATGTACACCGTATAACAGGAAAGTCTATTACAACAGGAGACTGACTTACTTGCAGTATGATCTGACTCAGAATCAGACTGGGAATGAAGTGAGATGTCACCACTTGTGCTTTTTGGAATCTCTATAGTGAGAGGTGTAACAGGTTCAAGCTTTCCTCCACGCTTTTTCCCAACAGTTAAATTTGGATTTTCACTGTGGATAAATATTCTGTTCCCTGTGCAAAAAAATAAAATAGAAACATTAGGTATGGATCTCTTCGACCCCATGTTACGGCACAAGACGAACCATAAATAAAAATAAAATGTTCAAAGGCACATCAGTAAGTCACCAATAAATCAGTTTTGCTGGCATTATTAATTTACCACAAGGTGTAGTACAATGCAGGTCAACCACTATATTATGGTACCCAGCAAATGTAAGTTGACGATACTCAAAACTTGGGAGAATCAAGAATTGAGTATCAAGTTGAGTATTCAGTCTCTATGCACTCAAAGCATGACTTGATTCTCCATCCTTGATTCTAGCAAAATTCAGTGAACTCAAACAATCATTATTATTCGTTGATTCAGGTTTCAAGTTTTAATTCCTTGATCTGCCCCTGCACTTTAACCTGGTTTTACTGTAGCACTTCACCTGAGTTGCAGCCCATTTGCACAATATTATTAGTAGTCTATCAAAGAATCACTGATTGGGAGAGAAGTGGTCAACAAGTTAATTTTTTCTCTCAATCGCAAAAGACTCGACTAAATTCTCCAGACTTGATTTGCAGTGCTTGATACTCAACAGAATCGAGTACTGAGTATCAAGGACTTCCCTCATTGCCAACTATCATTGAACAGAAACTTTAAGCTTGCAGTCTTATTACCAAATAGTGGTCCTTCCTACACTGTAGATACTGTACCTAAATTTGCATCATCAGAGACACTTCTCTTCATGAAGTAAGGTGGCTGAGGATTGTGCTTGGGACTGAGGCCACCATCAGTGTCACTGGTAGACAATGTCGACAGCCTGGAGCTTTCTGTGCCTGCATCTGAGCTTGGGGATGATAACGGTGCATCACTGTCCAAGGTGACTGATGAGCATGATGACCGCTTTGAAGGACTGATGGAAAGGCTGGTGCTCTTTTCTCGTGTTTTGCCAGTGTCCCAAGAATCCCAGTAAATATCTGATGTGCTGTCTTTATGGCCCTGTTTCTGACGTTCTTTGACAGGACAAACAAACATGTTGATAATGATTTGACTTTCATGAAAATTTGTAGCAACCTCCAAACAATCAACCACAAAATCATTATTATATGACTGTATAATACAAATTAACATTTTATAATGCATTCTTTTTTTAATTTCATATATACATGACGTAATATATTTCCTCAAATAATAGCTGGATGTGTTTACAACTTGTATTATTACATGTATTATTATCTTTTAAATTATGTTTTTGCATCTACATGTAAAGGGAGAGATAACTTAAGGATTTGCTCATTTTATCGCATTGTTTGACAGAACCCTTGGGTATTACATGATATTTCTGTTTCACATCTTTAATTTATAATCCACTACAACACTGACAGTGCTCCTCTAGTATCACAGTGTATTTCCACAGTACCACATAAATTGTAATTAGCTAATTATTCATAACAAGCATTTCTTTGTTTTGTAAGTACTATAAACTGTTCTTTATAATAGCCACATAATATATTATAAAATCATGTAATAAACATCATTGAACCACTTTTGGATACTTACATGTAAAGCAACCAAAACATGTTTTCTAAACTCTAGCAATGTGTCATTGTTCAGAATAGAATGTAAATGAAAGGTTTAATATATTTTCTACTGCTGTGATTTTTTATTCTTTACTTTAATCTTTAAAGTTTAACAAGTTACTCCTAAAACAGCACTTGTCACAGTAAAAAATTGTCCTAGGAGAATAAGATAAATAAAAAATCAAACATTATATAATAATTATTATGTACATGTGCAAACTAATACAATAATTTAAAAGAGGAAATGCATATCAAAAGACTAATTGTATAGTGTTCATCACAGCTACAATGTACATAATTAAAATTTGTCTGATCCAGGGTTCCAGGTGTTAAATCTGGAATTCCAACGGGTCAATTTCCACTGCTCCCACCAAGTCATTATATAAATTTTCTATTAATTTGTCAAGTCTCGTAGCTGACCTTGTGGGCTTTTTTGACCTGAGACCCACTGCATATCTGGAACACTGCTGATTGGCTAAAAAGTGGAATAAGAGAATTTTCCTGTTACAATAATACCTGTGTAGGCCTGAAGATGTTTCAGTGCAGCAATCAACCTTCTACTTTCTTCTTGTCCATCAGCATAGTTCTCAAGCATAGCTTTAACTTTCTCATCAGATAACGATAAGAGGCCTTCCACAGTACTACACTTCTCTTCCAAATTCTGTGAACGAAAAAATATATACATGTACATGTAGACAATATTGTTTTTTGGTTGTGTATGTACTTTTTTACTCATTAGAGATATTTTGTAAATTCTAAGTTTAATGTCAACTTCCAGTATGGATGCAAAAAGCTTAATGCTACATGTACATGCATCTAAGTTCTTTCTGATTTTACTTTTGATGTTAGATGAAACAGCTTAGGTAAAGCTCAAGTCTGCATACAAGTGGCCCATCAGGCTGGCGCTTATCTCTGGTTACTGTAGCATGAGGCAACTAGGAGTATTTCTACTCCCCCCCTTGATGGGATACTAGTCCATCACAGGGTTACCCCCAGCATTAAGTTCGCTGGCACCCACTTATACACCTGGGTGGAGTGAGAGGCACTATGCGGGTTTAGTGTCTTGCCCAAGAACACAACATAATGTCCCTGATCAGGGCTTGAACCCTGGGACTGCTTGATCCGGAGGCAAGCGCACCAACCATGAGGCCACCACAGCTTCACATGAAAACAACGCTAACAACTTAGTAGAAATCAAAGGAACTGTTGGACAAAATAATTTAAAGTGCCACAAGATGGTTGGTAAAGAATAACACTGGTTTTCATTTCATTGAGTAATGCACAGAAACAATGAGGTGCAGGGAGAATAATACTCTAGAATTAGCCAATCAGAGTGTGCGTTATATCAGCAACAAACACAAGCCATATAATAAATAAATACAGGGTTTTCAAAATAAACCAGCGCCCAATACAAGTCAAAAGCTACTTCAAGCATTTGCACCAGGTACTTTCTGTCACAAATCTTATTTCTCCTAAGTTTTGTTTCACCAATGATTACATGTATGTAATCATGATCTGATCTTTCCAAAGAAATAAATGAACAGGTGACTAAAATCAGACTATGCTGTCTTTAATACAGTGGCCACCAACAAAATCCCTTGTGTGTGTTAGAAACACACCAGAATACACCTGAACCCACACAGATTTTCAAAATGTTTCAGGACAAGCAACCCATCCCCCACCCCATGCAAGTTCAAACTACCTAACACAAAATTTATTGTGTTAGAATTTGCATGAAAGTGTTGAAAATGAACTTACATTAATTTAAATTTTTGTAACTTCAGCGAGACCATAATGAGTAACAAGCAAACTAAGGCACTTGTTTTTCATTTTTGTTGTATATGCAGATAGTCATCATAAACACCCCAAATACTTACAAAGAGCATTTACAGAGCAGCTCAGATATAAGCAAACCAAAATATATGCGTAATTTGTGTCAGCCCAATACACTTATACATGTATGCATATACACACATACGCGTACAGTATATAGTATGCGCGCATATGCCTCATTAGTATGTATGAGCTAACGTATTGTTCCTTCTTTTCTTAACAGGTCATTGTTGTTTCAATGGCTTGACAGCTTCGCACAGAGCAAGAGAGAGTTTTCTTTATTTTGAATATGTGTATACAGTATATGTGCGTATGTAACCATGGACACTGCCTCAGTCACAATTTTTTTCTTTCTGGCTATGGCCCTGTTCAGTAGCCATACACAAGAAAGTGATCAGATATACTTCTAATCAAACCAGGGCTGTCATTAAGGGCCGTAACCTGTAGCATCTGTTACGGCTGAGTATGCTTGATTTTCCCTTGATGCTACAGGTGAAATTGGCTGTTGTTGATAGAATTCACCCATAACATAACAAATTTGCTACAGGTGTGAAGAATAAGGCTACAGGTGATTAAAAACTTAGTGACAACTCTGTAAACAATTTGTACGTGAAGGAAACTATAGTGTTAGAAAGTAAGCTTACATTTGAAGCTTCATCAGCCATACAAAAGAAACTGATTACACATATACAAACAAAAAGCCACATGGAAAATTTCCAGCGTGTTAACTGGAGCATGGCTGGATAGCGTATATGTAACAGGGATGCTATGTTATTCAACAAATTATGTTCAATTTACAGGCTTTGCCTGCATATCCTTAAAGGAAACAACAGCTACAGGTTCACTGTCTGTCAGATAGTACAGGTACAATAAAGTTTTAAACTTATTATTATATCAGCAATAAGTGAGATCTCAGTGAATTAAAATCATTGCAGCTATTTTTTCATATTCTTAGAAGATAATTTTTTATTATGTAAATAAATCAAAAACAAACATGTACATTCACATTTACCAGTTAAATGCTGAGTTCTACATTATATTTTGAAAAAAAAAAATTAAAATATCTGAACATGGATATATAATAATTATTAATAACCTACGACCAAAGCAAAATTAAATATTGAAATTGTAAAGAACACAAGAACAAAAGCTTTCCCTTTAAAAAGAAAGTAAGCAAAATTTAAATAATTAGTGATCTTGTTAACACCAAATTTATCCTACATGACAGAAGAGCATGGCAAACAGGAATTCATTCTATCAGTAACAAATAATACATTCTGTTTATGTTTGGTTAAATTTATTGTCAAACTTACAAGTAATCTCACATACAAATAAAGAAAATCATATCTTTAACTCTATTTGGGGATAAATTACCTTGAGAAGCTAACAAATTTTCAGAATTTTTTTCAAAATCTCACAACAAAATATTATTTCCAGCTGACATGAATAAATATTTAAACTGGTTGCCCAGTTAATTTGCCGCCCCGCTTTCAAACCATTATTTTCTTTCACATCAGTCAACTTGACAAAACTCCTCATCCCATAGCTGGATTACATTGATGGTCAGGTGAGCATCATCTGCGTGTATACAGTTTTGCCTGGTGCTGCCTTCTACAGGCAGCTCAGAACCACATAAAACTAGCTAAACTTGCATGTGATTGTCATGATTTTAAAAATCTTTGAATATGCAAAAATTCCTGGCTCACAGTTGTGTTCAACTGGGGGTGGAGTGGGAAGAATAGTGCATACCCTGTAGCTTTCAAATGCATTTAGTTAACATGCAACAAATTGGGGGAATTTCTTTTGTTGAAGTGGAATACATGAAATAGTGCACACATAAAATAATACACATGTACCTTGATTGCCTCCTCATTGATTCCCACGACTTGAAGCCACTGTTCCAGTTTAGGATAATAACGGAGTTTCTCGTTGTGGTTCCAATCTTCATTACACTTCTGCTTGGCAACTAATTGTCGTGAAAACAATTTTACCAGCTTTCCCTGACAAAAAAGAAACGTACACGATCGAATATTTTCCTGCAGGTAGCGGGGAGAAAAATACGTTTACTGGAATTGTAAAAGGGTTAAGGCTGCTACACTGGTCTCTACAGGTGTAAGTCGTTCACAGCTGATTTTATGCACGCTTGCATGTAAACTGAGACATGTAGCTGCACATCAAGAATTTTCAAATCCACTTAATCTTTTTATTGACAATAAAACTTTTATTTCCTTTTTCGTGTTAAGAGATAAATGTCTCGAACGAAGATCGAGTTGCTTGACAACAAACGAGATCGAATTTTGCAGCCGATATCATCCCTACAGTCTGTCTAATAGCAATCTTCCAGGACAAGATGCGAAACACGCGACCGAGTACGAGTAGAAATACTGTTCTCTCCAGATCTTTCCTAATCCCACACTGCAAACAGGTCATTTATCTTTACAAAATGAAGTAAAGCCGCTAATCAACAATTTGCTTAACCACCGCGAATAAACATTCAAGGTTTCGTGTCAAGATCTGCTTGCACTATAACGTAAACATCAATAAAAGAACGTCCGCAAGTCACGTCGCAAACGAAATCGCACAGCAAAATATGTCTGATAGCCTTTCCAACGGTGTTATGCAGATGATCGACGATTTTAAAATCACATACAATGCCATACACTCGAAAATAATAGTATATATCAATACTTTCGAAACTAGTTTACGTAGCTGTAGGCACCAATATAACTTATCCCAAACCGCTTCCCCCACGGCAAGTGACAAAATGTGATGTCAAAAGCCGTTAAATGAACCACTTCTGACAGCTCACAGTGCGCCTTAAATGTGTAGTTGAAGCAATAATATTTACCTCGAGGGTGCGAATTTCTTGCTGGATCAAGTCGCTGTTGGTGGAAAACTGTGTTCGGAGACTGTTCAAGCTGGAAGCGTTCATGTCTATCATACCCTGCACGAGTTGGATCTGCTCGAGTACCTTCGCCACTGCCACTCCATTCGACGACATTTTCACGGTTTTCAGCCTCTTGACAGCCCGCAGCTTATGTTTGCAGATAGGGAACAAATAGAACACGGAATATTAGCAGGTAGCACCTACGTCTGGTCGGAAAAAGAGCCATTTTCGCTTGTGGAAAATTAGTCCCGGCCACCCTCCATGATTCAGTCACCAAATTTTTACCATTACGCAGAGGAAGACACTGGGCTCTAGACACGTGATACTAAAAAAACTTGAGGGACGGGAGGGAGAGTTAATAAAGGTCAAGGACAATTTTGTAAATACCGGTCACGTAATGTCAAAAGTATTCACTCGTGATCTTGTTCAAGGATGTTTTTCGCTGAAAATAATGTTCCACTAAGATCTCTTGAAAAGACTTATGTGGTCTTCTGTACTAAAAAAAAAAATCAGAGTGAAGTCAAAAACATTTCTTTTTTGCCCCTAAAAAAAGTCAGAAAATGTTCAGTTCCTTGAGTCGTGAAATCAATCTCTCACTTTTTTATAAACTAAGATTGCTTTATTTTCTTTCTTTCTTTCTTTTTAGATTTCTATATTTTATGTTTGCTCGCTCTTTCGAGGATGTTTGAACGCGGGATAATTTCAATTCTTAGGACCTCTTAAGGCTCCTCATTTTAGGACTCTCTTAGTGGGACTAGTCTATATCCTCGATCCCAGCCTGTTCACTCTCTCCCACCACAATAACAGCAGAAGAAATATTAGCAATATAATCCTTTTTGTCGGTAATTATCTGAAATTAGAACTGAAGAAAAGTCCAGATCCTTCCCTGGTTTTATGAACATAACCTGTATTTCTTGTTTACCCAGTTTGTCTCAGCTGATTGCAATTTCCGTGGTTTTGCTGGAAGCTATCTTTAGATTTAAAGCGCTAAAAGTAAACAGATAAATTTAGAGTTATGGTTCTAAAAATAAATTATTGACATATTCAGGGTGATGTATTGTCCACACATACCCAGCCCTATTTTTAAACCCACCGTTTACGTAAATCCCTGAGTGACTAAGTTGCCAGGTGCCTATATTTCAGTGCCGAGGTTTTCTGTTTCAAAACGAATCGAAACTAGAATTAGCGAAGTGAAAACTAACCTGTTAGGTTATAACAAGAGCCACTTGCTTGTAATTAGCTGGGAGCAGTGAGAAAAGCGGGAACAGAACTGAAATAGGACCGAACTGAAAGTTTTGCGTGGGCTAGGTGAAAAGGCTTTCACCTTTCTGTGACACAATCGATGGTTTGTATTCCTTTAGCTGAACAAGCTTTAATACTTCATGTAAATGAGACAAGCCTTCGAAATGATGCCCGGAGAAAGCTGGCAACAACTTGTCGCAACGGCAACCAGTTAACAGAGATGACTTTCATATTATTAGTGGTGAAGGAATCAACCTGAATCAGAGTATATCGAAACTATATAAGGACAAGTATGGCTCAACTCCCCTTTTTTTGACAGAAGACGCAAGAAAATTTCAAAATTAAAGTGATATGAAATATTAAATACTCTCAGCGCCTCACTAATCAAGAGCCGGCGTCAGTGTGCCAATATTTGTTGATATATTTAACTGCCGCACTAAACAACCTTTCGGTTATGCACTTATCACTAAGCGTCCAGATTAAACCACAAAACAACCGAAACAAAGAAACGGAAAAGGGACCTTGAACAATTTTAAAAAGGAGCGTTTCCTTTCGATCGTTTTGTTAATTTAGCAGTATACCGAAATACTTGGCGAAAAAATATTGTTAGTTGCTTTTTTATCTTATACTTTCCTCTTCATTATCGATGTTTGCGAAATTGTTTCTAGTACGCGTATCCGCGCAGGATAGGGTTATATATAAATTGAACAAAAAAAATGGAGTTTGTTGTGCTGATGATCGGTGGTTTATGAAATCACACCCGGAAATTACAACGGGACCGCAGCAATAAGTTAAAACTGCCGGATTTAAATATATTTTGAGAAAGACAGAACGCATCGCACTTTAGATGATTATCTGCAGTCGGAGAGGATCGGTTTTTTTAATTTCTTTTTCTTTTCTTTTTCTCTTCAAGTACCTTGCTGTGTAGTCGGTTTTAAGTTATTTGAACACGAAGTGTACGTGCCCAGCTTGGCTCTCAATGATCTAAATGGTTGGCTCAATTCTTCCTAGTTAGAATAGCTATTGGTTTTTGTGGCGGTTTGTCATACCATGACAAATAATATACATTAACACTGGGCACCTGCTTTGCTCTAAGACTTCCGTTTGGTGATGTGTTGTCCTTGACAACTCCATCCAGTCCGCTATATCGATCAGCATTATCAGCTGGCCGTGAATTGTATAATGTAGTTTAAAATGAGCACCTTAGTTCATAATAACCCTTTTGTTTATTCTCTGACTAAAACTTGAGGTATTGCCTTTTAATCTTCACGATGTGAAAACTCGAACATTCGAAATCATACATTGGTGAATTTTCCAATCGTGAAATTTCCAGTTGATTTTTTCTGATACATATAATATTGTGCATTTTCCTGGCTATAAATTTGGTTACCAAATTAAGGTTTAATCCGAGGTTTTCAACACCGATCAATATCGGTCCGTTCTGTAAACACGAAAGAGCGATGGTCAATTTTCGTTGTCGTTCAGTTTGTGAAGTCTTCTGTTTTATTCCCGATCAAAGCTTTCACAGTTGCATTCTATTTTCATCTAATAAAAGTTATGTTCCTGCCACAAGAAAACCGATAAACTGTCGAGGACTGTACTACACCCAACTTGCAACAACACCGCCAGCCCAAGCTGAGTCCGCCAAATGTTTTTTCGTCGCGTGTGCACCATGCAGTAACAATGATACAAAACCGTTTGCTAATCCTTTCTTTACATGAAGAAATATATTATTTCAGAATCAACAGAGAACAAACGGTTGAAACCGAAACATAGACGTATCAAAACCTGAAGCAGCATACTCTGTCCGCAAAGTTCGACAATATTTCCGGCCCTATAATCGACAAGGAAAGTGATATTCGAAAAACTGTTTTTCTAATCCAGGCGGCATATATAAAAAGTGTATGCTACACAGAACCTAGCCAAACAATAAATGGTATGCTCTTTAGTTCTCCATGATTTGCATCGTGCCCTAACTATGATACCGCCTTTGGCATAATGGAAAATGGTAATGATATATTTACCTCAGAATTTGGGTAAGTCGCTCGTCGTTTCGAACCGTCAAGTCGATCTAAAATGCTGTCCATGCTTCGGTTTACGTTTTCCTTGGAACGAAGACGATACCTTCGTTGGCGACCAGGTACAAGTCTGTGGAACAAATTTAGAGCCTCCATCACTAACAACGGCGAATAACCATAGTCCTCACTGGCAGTCCTGTGTGTTTTCTTGAAATGCAGAGTTCGCATTCACCCGTGGTTTTCTTGCATTTCGGCTGCCATCTCTCGGTTGCGTTCTTGACTAATGAAATCCTCAAAATTGTTTTGTGAACACTAATTATTGAATAGAATTAACGAGCTGATTAATAATTGCGCAATGGGAGAACTTCAACCAACTCGACTGCTTTGCACAAGGCCGCTTAGTTTGTAACTGCAACCTCATAAATCTGCCTGCTTCGTGTAACTAAATTCATGTATAGCTCCTCGTTGACTTCAGAAGCGAAGAAGCGAAGTTAAACCGTGCCAATCGAACTGATTAAATGGCATTTCAAGTTCCCAGCAAGATTGCATGCCACTGCGAGCCGGGGGAGAGCCAATTTTCTATTCTCCTTGATATAACCTCGGTAATATCAACACAATTTGCAAATTACGCGAGTGCAAATTAATGTGCAGGGCGGAAGATGCTTGACTGACAGGAAGATGAAAACAGGTGTCCAGGATTGACTAAAACACCACAATAGTCCTTATGTCGCAGTCGAAAACACTAAATACAAGTTGAAAGTTCATTTCTTCTTTAAATAAAAGATTGGAATAACCTCACGTTTTTTTGGTGATCATGATGTAAAGTTCCGATAATAGCTTGATTTATGTCAATGATGGACTCCAATTATCAGATTAATTATCAAATTATTTTCAACCAGTTGCTAATTCAATAATTTGCACTACTGTGACGCCTTTGCAGCACAACACTCTTAGCAACCTTAAACTTATGACGCCATTTGGCTTATTTCGCCTGCCAAATGACGTCATAGCGTTTATTCATGTCACTCTCTGGATTTTTTAGCTGCTTTTGGTCTCTGTTTCAAAACGAGGCTTGATGCTTTTAATGCTTGCACGAGCAGCATGTCGCTCTTGAGGCACAGATTTGATTGCTTAGATTCTTCACTAAGATTTTCACCGCTTAGCGCTGGTTTCCTTCCCGAAAATATCACTTGTTGATACCTTCCTTGAACGGTTCAATCACATTTCCAGCGGGAAGTTTATGGGGAGATTTTTAGTGATGTCCTCCATAGCAAAACACATGTGTACCACTTCCGCCAGAATTTGACTTCTGCTTAAAATTCCCTTCGTTAGAATCGGTTAAGTAGGTGCTGTTAGCGAACAGTTTTGGTCGGATATCAACCGATGTTTAAGTTCAAGAAACAAAGGGCTATTGAATTAGTGAAAATGTTCCTCCAAATAACTAGCCAATCAAATCGTGCGTCTCCAGAGCCATCTTTTCTTCGTAACAAGGCCCCAGCGGCAAAGAGAGGCCTCCAGGTGAGACGGATCTGGGGATGAGAATGGATGTCTCTTCAGCATTGTTGGAACTCAATGTTGCACTCATGTTACGGGGACTGTTCAAGAAAATTGCAAAAGAAACACGTGATATATATTTAGCCAGGCTTACCCAACATAAGCGAGAAGTCTGATTTGAGTGTTGTAACTTTGGGGTTATGTTTTCTGTTTATATTGTTTGGCCTTCTGTTTTGAGTTTGAATAGTCTCAAACTACACAAAATATAAGCAGTTAAAAGCATTTTTATACAGGAAAAAATTATGCTACGGTTAACCTTGAATACGGCTGGCGCGCCTGAAATTTGAATTGACCGATCAGGATTCAGCAGGCGGCAAAAACTTTACTGTCCTGACGACACTGTAAGTTAACAGGAATAGCATTGAAATCAGGCAACTCAGTTCTCACTGGAGATGGCTTTGAATATTTACGAAAAGAGATTTACAATTCCGAAAACCATACTAGATTTTAAAAAGTGAAAATGTGAAACATTTTGTGTCTCGAAGCTTCCAATTTGGCGCCAAAAATGGGTCGCCGGCTTCCGGCATGGCAACTCGCTCGTAGTTCAGCGTCGATTGTCGCCAGATAGGGTAATAGTTATAATTTTGAACAAAATATCGTGTTCCTCTTCAAATTAAACCCCGGAATTCTCAAATTAACTATTAAAAGAGGCCAAAGCAACTTTAGCATTGCCTTTATTTTTGTTTGTTTCCAAGAAAAAGGCTATTATGGTGTCGTTGTTCGAGTCGTTTCGGTAGGACAGCTAAGGTTTAACTGCCGCTCGTACTGCGGGCGCAGCCACCGTATGCAAGCAACATTTTGGGATGCGTTAACTGGATTCCGCTGGAGTATGGCCGCCATGTTGCGCGACGTCGTCGTCGTCGCCGCCGCCGCCGTCGTCGTCGAGTCGTCTTGCGTGGGAGCCCATGAGCGATACCGCCAACCATTTTACCAGGTGCAAAAGCGTTTTTATGAGTATGGGGCTCCGCGGCCTAGCGCGGCTCCGCTATAACCTGTCTGCACACACCTTTAGAAGGAGTTGTCTATTGCTCGATGCTTAATTATAAAACGAAATCCGACAAGAAATCGAGCAATTTCAGTTTTAAGTGGGCAAAATCCTTCCACCAGAATAGTTTTATACAGTCCTTTTTGCATTTTCTAAAAGCTAAAGATATAAATAGTTGCCTGACATAACACCAAAAACAATTTCCTATGGGAACTCGAGGAAATAAATTTCAAAACTGTAGAGAAATTGTGCAAACACAGGCAAAATTTTATCATCATTTCGTCAGTATACTTTCAAGTGTTTCAAATGAACTTCAAAATTTGTTTTCGACATTTGGTGTTGTAAGAAATGATTTATTTTGAGAAGATATTTAAAGCAGTCGCACAGAGGTTTGCAATATATGGTGCAAATAATCTCGGTATAAAGTTTTTGTCCACTTGTTACTCGAATTTCTGGTGGATTCCCTCTTAAAACGTATCAATAGCCGAGCAGACTTCTCGTGATGAGTTGAATCACTTCCGGTGCGTTCAGTCAGACTTCCTGTAGCGTATTCTTGTTCTTCGGCTGTTTCAATTTCAGAAGGAAAAGAAAACAAACAGCGGCTCGGTAGACAATACCTTCTGCTAAAACGACTTGTCAAAGCATGCGACTCGATTCACTTTGAGTTTATTGCACGTTAGTGACGTGGGCAGCACAGGTAGCTTCCGAAGCTACCTGTGCTGCACACGCGTTGTCACCATCCACGCAACACGCGTGGTAACGTTATCCGCGGAAACACTGGGTGCTAGATCTAAAAATAACTTGGGAGTCTTGAGAGGGTCACTAGCGTAAGAGTGCGGCTTATATGGGGGATTTCTGAACTCTCTTACCTTAACTGCTGTGAAAAACAGCATTTTAGAAAAACCGCGAACTTAATGGCTAAGAAAGTCTGCGGACTCCCGAAAAATAAACTTAAATAACGGCAGTGACAAAATTAACAAATAACAAATTA